GTTACAGCAAAGATCTACTTTAGTTTAATTACAATCACTCTAGTAAATGGAAATTACATTTACAGGTATCATTAGGCTAATGGCGAGGAGTTAAAGTTTGGTGGCCCACTGGGTCTTGCTGATGCCCGCTCCTTTCCCATCCATCCCCAGAGTAATGAAGGCCTCTGCTACTAAGGCAGGAAGCTCTGCTGCGAGCCACGTGCTTGAAGCACAGACTTTTGCCGGTGAAACCTTTCTGAGAAACTTCTACTTTCACTAGGCAATGAGACTGTGGCGCTGCCTCCAAGCCCATTGCTGGAGCAGCCTGCGTTTTTCTGAACTTCCTACTTCTTTATCCGCCCTAAATCATGTAAATTTTACAAAAGCCTTGATTTATTGGCATTAGCCAGAGTGAACCAATGCCAGCGTGAATTCTCTTTCCACACGCCAAGCTGATAATTTAATATAATACACACAAAACGCTTCCCAGGCTGGCTGGACCACGTGCTGGTTCTTTATCTCCTGCCGGGCCGTGGCCGTTGTTCTCCCTGGGGGAAGATGGGGCCGCTGCAGCTTGCGGTGATGGATGGCACGTAGGGAATGGGGCTGCAGTACCTTGAAGCTGCCGTCCGCAGATGGGCGCGCAGCAAATCTCCATCCTGCAGTTGGGAATGCAGCAGAGGGGTGCGTGCTTCTACCTACAGTCAGACTGAAATGTAAAAACAAACCCCAAACTTTCTTTTATAATGCAAAAATACAGCTTCCTTGAAGGCAGCTAGGTGGCTTCTGCTGGTGTGGGGCTGGGCTGAAAGGCTCCTCCTTGTCCTTTGTCGGAGCAACAAGCTGCAAGGTTAAATCGGTAGGTGTGCCCACACTACAAATACCCTCGAGATAAGTCTTTCTTGTCGCCAGACACCTGATGCTCGTTGCCTCTACTGCTTAATTTTTTTGTTACACCTCCTGTATGCTCTTGCCCTCTAGGGAGGGCAGGCTCGGCTAAGTCTTATCTGATGTCTAATCCATCTACGAGCAGGCAAAGCGCTGATGTCGCACAGCACCGTGCGGGCTGGCCTGACCTTCCCAGCCCACATAACTCATTTGCTGAAAAGCCAGAGGGGCATCTCCCTTGGGGAGCTGCTGGGGAGGGCGTGTGCCAGCCGGGAGCGGGTGGTGCCTCCTGGGTCCTGTCCAGCGCTGCAGAAAAGAGATGGCATTTTGGGGTGGCCATCTTGTACTTACGTAACGGTGCGACGCCACCCCCTGCAGAAGAACATGTTGTCCTCCATCTCTGGAAGGGGGGTTGACAGGCTGTATTAAAAGCCTGCTTCCCAGCAGAGCTGGCTTTTTTTTTTTTTTTTTTTTTTGTGGTTACTGCCTTTAACTTCTGGAATGAACAAAGCTGATGTTTTTGCAGGCTTTTTTTGGGAATCTGAAGGCCTGCCCGGTTTCATAACCCTGCCCTTCTCAAGTGTAAGTGCTAACTCAAACCATTTCTGCCTCTGGCCAGGGACACCGGGCATGAGCAGCCTTGTTCTGCAGCGTGAGCAAGGCTGTGCGAATGAGGCTGACCAATAAAACAGGAATCGTTGCCCATGGTGACCCTCCCTGCTGCAGTAAACCATCTTTGTCCAGCGTGGCAGTGGTTAACGCCAGTCCTGCCTGGGGATGGTCCCTGAGGCCTCCTTGCTGCGGTTTCCACTTCCCTTTGTCACTGATAACAGCAAAGGCTTGGCCCAGGGCGGGGATTGCCGGGGCGGGGATTCCT